CAATGGACTTCTAATTGAGAAACTAGGAATTGCATTTTGTAAAGATTCGGCCTACCTCGTCTAAAACTCGCATGCAAATTTATTTTAACTTGCTTTGATGGGACCCCGACGGGTCTTTAATAAAATTATCTATCTATCTATCAGATTCAACAGAACTTAACAAAGTCAGTGGTCAGTAAGATGTCCTTATCGTTGGGGATTTTAACGCTCCTGGCATTGATTGACTAACGTGGACTGTGAAAGGGCAGCAAGACAGCTTTAATTGCAAACTACTACAATGGGCGACGGACCAACTTCTCTGCCGGAATGTTACCTTTGGAGCGCGGGACAGGGAAGGACAGCAGTCGAACTGCCTTAATCCTATTTTTACCCCTAGAGGAGGAAAGCGTGTTAGAACTGCAGGACCGATCTCCATGAGGATCAAGCGATCACATGACGCTCTACTTCGAGTACTCCCTGTTTTCCAAACCTGTTCATTTCGATAGGTGAGAGAGAAACACTTGGAAGGGGAACTATTCTCTCATGAGGAGGGAAGCTACAGCTGTATCATGGTAGACTGAACTGCATGGTCGGGCTTACGACAACTGGAATACTTTCAGTTCCTTACTGAAAGATATTGTTTATTCCAACTGACCTCTAAGAGGAAAGGCAATCACAAACTGCCCAAAGTGGATAAACTTGGACATAAAGGCCTCTTTCAGAAAAAGTCATCGTCTATGGAGGCGTAACAGACTACCTGGCTCCGAAGAACACCTACAGAATTATAAGCAGCAACGCAACGTTCGTAAAAGTGAGGACTCAAAGTTGCGAAGGAAGTTCAAACAGAATATACTGCAGAATTCGTTGGAGCATCCGAAAATTCTATGTGGCTATATACGGAGTACTAAAAGGACTCAAGAGCTGATCTTTGCCCTTAGGTCTGCAGATGGAAAAGCGGAGAGGGATGACCAGATTAAAGCGTCCTTCCTTTCTAATTTCTTTCAGTCCGGCTTCACCCGAGAACCTACCTCTATATTTGCCCATCCATCCATTCACCAACCAACCTCTCCTCTCAGTACCCTTGTCCTCCTATACCCTCCCTACCTTCCTTAACCGAGGAACCACTCTTTTCATCGACCATAGTTATGGCCGAGCTACTCCGACTGAAACCTGTCAAATCACCTGGCTCGGACATAATTCCCGCACTAGCACTGCAGGAACCTGCTAATGAACTGTGCGAACCATTGTCCGAAATATGTTGAAAGTCATTTGAAGGCGAGCTCCCGCAAGAATGGAAGTGTGCACTCATGCCTCTGATCCATAAAGGAGGCTCATGACTTGGGTGTGGAAATTATCGTCCCATCAGTCCTAATTGCATCGCGTGTAACATAATGGAACGCATTTTCAAAAGACACTTGATGCAATACCTGGAACAGAACAACAAATTGTGTGATGCCCAACATGGCTTTCGTCAAGGGCGCTCCTGTCTAACGAGTGTTCTTTACTCGCACGGGAAATGGACACGGGCTACCGATAAGGTTTATCCAGTGGATGTCATATTTTTTGACTTCAAGAAGGCGTTTGACAGTATCCCGCACAGGCTTCTTTTACAGAAGATCTGGAATGTAGGAATTCAAGTAAGACTGCTTAAATTGATCAGGAGTTTTCTGTCCTCCAGACTACAAGGAGTCGTCGTTGGTAACTCTACCTCAGGATGGGCAAAGGTGGAAAGTGATGTCCCTCAGAGTTCTGTTTTGGGCCCTGTACTCTTCCTGATTTATGTTGATGACTGTGTCAGCGAACTGGATTGCGAGGCCCTTATGTTTGCGGAGGACATAAAAATATGGGGTGAAGTCAAGTGCGATGATGACGCGAAGAAGTTGCAGTCAAACATCGACAAACTGTGTGTTTGGTCGAGCAGATGGCTTTTGGATTTTAACGTGTCCAAATGTGTGTTCTTGCACCTAAACACCGACCGAAATGACCCTCCGAAACACCAGTACCATATTAACGGAACGGCATGAGAAACTGTAGAAAGATACAGAGATCTGTGTATATGAACGACCACAAATCTAGTGCCATCAGAACACTGTAGACAGATGGTCCAGAAGGCAGCTAGTAGTTTACACTGGATCAAACGTGCATCTAAAAGATTCTCTCCTGAACTCTTCGAAAGACTCTTTGACGTCTTTGTAAGACCCCATCTGGATTACGGAATGCCAGCAGCTTCACCATGGATGATGAAGGATATCGCCTAGTTCGAACAGGTGCAACGCAGAGCAACGAAGATGGTCGAGGGTCTAAAGCGTTTGCCTTACCAAAACAGGCTGAATGTGCTTGGCATATTTCCTCCCTCTTGTAGGCAACTAAACTGCCGTCTAAATAAATAAAAAAGTAATTTTTCTAAAAGACCCGTCGGGGTCCCATCAAAGCAACGGAAATAAATTTACATGGTTTAGGTAGGATTTAAGATAAGGCAGACAACCGCCCCCACGTTTAGTCGTGCGGTTTTGACGGTAAAATTCGAAATCATCTATGAGAAGGACAGAGTTAGGAATTAGAGAATGGGCTCACGATTCTTTTACAAATGTAATATCAGGCGTCATTTCGAGAGCAATGTCTGTGCTTTGGGTCATTTTGCTTATAACAGACCAGGCTTTCAATAATATAATATCTAATGTGTTTCGAACAGCAAGGCTATTGTCGACGGTATTTAAAAGAAAAAATTTGGAGGCGGATATGTAAGCGGTGAATTAAGGATTCTTGGAGAATAAGTACCAGTTTGTCTAGGGTTATTGACGTACGGGGAGTCAGCATGAGAATGCTGAGCAGTTGACCTTGGTTGGTGGGAAGCCTGAACTAGGTTGGGGGATAAATGACTTAGGGCAATTCACGTATGAATTATTTGCTGGATATCTAGTACGGCTTTGGCGTCTCACCGTTCTGACGCCAAACCACAGGTGACTTAACTGTAGAGCTTGCAGCACCCAGTTGAACAGGGAAGTTATCGATCTAGCTGATGTAGACGGATTTTCATGCATCCCAGGGGGGGGGCATACGGAGGATAAGAAACGACAAATGGTGTTGCTGCTAGTTCAATGGCAGGAAAATGCGTCAAGTGGCCTGAGTGAGATAGAGATATAAGAGTAAGTGGAAGGAGGGAGTCAGATATCGCAGGAGTAGGACCAGTAGAATCCTGACGGTCGCTTGTATTATTCAGTTTATTCAGTTCAGTTTATTTGGTAAGGATGATAGGCAAAGCCTTTGAAAACCCTATTGATTACATGTCAGCTCGTTAGAAATAACTGTACACGAACAAAAAATATTCAATATTAAAACAGTACTTGGTTCATTTGAGTAGCA